CTGTGCAGACGCCAAGTCCAGACTACAGGTTCTGTACGAGGCCGTCCGTTAACCGAGACATCCAGTCCATGATCCAGGTCTACGCCGAGGGGGTGGACCTGCAGGAGTCCCTCCCACAGCCCAACGAACACGTAGGACTTCAGTTCTGAGTTTTTAATGTCAGAACCAGGAGACAGACCCTAGTTCTTTAAAGAGACGTGAGAGCTTCTTGTGTTAAAGCTGCGTTCTGTGTGGTGACCAGCAGGGGGCGACTCCTCTGCTCCCATAGACGTCTATGAGGAAATGACTCTACTTCTCTGTTGATTTATTCCCTCAGTAAACGTTGTAAACATGAGTTCATGGTCTCAGTCTTCTTCAATGATGTTCATTTAGTAATTGATAGATTATGATTAAAAAAAGATGGAACACCAAATTGCTGAACTGGAGGCTTCATAAGATCAGCCCACATGTGACAGCCTTCACCGTGGCAACGTGTTCAGGACAGTGAGATGAGTTTGTGTCCGTCAGGAACCCGGAGAGACGGTGCTCCACCTGGCGGTCCGTATGGTCGACAGGAACTCCCTCCACATCGTGGACTTCCTCGCACAAAACAGGTGACATCGTCTTCTTCTTCGTCGTCGTCATCATCGTCAGTGTTTTCTTGATCATTTCTCCTCTTTTAATCGTTTGCATCTTTTATTTATTTGAGTTTTTTATAGTTTTACTTCTCCTTGTGGTTGTTTGTCTTTAACGTTGTGTTGTTTGCAGTTATTTTACATTTCTAAATGTTGCCTTTGTGTCTTTCTGGTGGATTCTTGTTGATTATGTTTTAGTACGTCGTGTTCAGTGGTGCGATGTCTGAACAAATCCAATCAGGAGATATTTCTAGAATGCTGCAGAGGGGACCGAGTCCTCTCAGGTGTCGTAACCCCCCCGGTGTGTTTCAGCGTGAACCTGGACCAGCAGACGTCCCGGGGGAGCACGGCCCTGAGCTACTGCAGCCTGACGGACAGCAGCGAGTGTCTGAAGCTGCTGCTGAGAGGAAAAGCCTCCATGTCCATCGGTCCGGAGACAAATATAATACATCCCTCCATCTGCAAACCGCTTATCCCACCAACAGGGTATTTTATATATATACACACATATATATATATATATATATATTATATATGTGTGTATATATATATATATATATATGTATATATATATATATATATATATATATATATATATATATATATATATATGTGTGTGTATATATTATACACACACATAAGAATATACACATATAAACAAAAGAGTAGTTGAGAAACAACTTGAAGACAAACTTCTAAAAGGAGACGCGCTCCGGTTTCTAACCCCCACCCGGCGTTTCTCCTGCAGCCAACGAAGCGGGAGAAACGCCGCTGGACATCGCCAGGCGCCTGGGACACGCCCAGTGCGAGGAGCAGGTGATGCTTCATGACGCAGTGCAGCTGGTTAGCATCGCGTGGGCCTCCTGCTGTGCTAACGCCTGTCGGTGCGTTGCAGCTCATTCAGGCTCAGACGGGGAAGTTCAACGTCCACGTCCACGTGGAGTACGAGTGGCGTCTCCAGAACGACGACATGGACGAGAGCGAGGACGAGATGGAGGACAAGGTCAGCCGTCGTCCCACCGAGCATCTTGTGGAGACAAAGACCGGTGAAATGAGCTGTTGTTCTTCTGTTACCGCAGCCGATCCCCTACCGGCACGAGGAGCGTCCTGTCAGCTGCTTCCTGCCCGCCAGCGGCGCCGTGCAGCCCAACCTGGCGTCTTTAGCCCGAGACGCCGCCTGCCTGGCGAGGGACAAACAGAGGCCTCCGGCGCCAAGCACGATGATCAGCAACGAGACCTACGGCACCGTGCTGGACCTCAACTTGCCCCCGAAGGGGCCGACGCCGGCGCTGCCGCCCCGAGGGCCCCAGAGAGGTCAGACGCTGATTGACAGGTCTCTGATAGAGACGTTTAGCACGTCTACCATTCTGCTGGATTTCTTTAGATCCGGTTGGTCCTACAGAGCGATGCAAGAAAATAATGTTTTTAAATTCGATTAAATAAACCCTCTCAGACCTGAGGATCGTATCTGTCTGCAGGTCCGGGACACAATAAGCCCGTTTGCCATGGAAACCTGCGGGAGACAGCGGTCGTCCTCTGACCCCCTCAACCCCCAGACCCCTGAAAGGAACTCCTCCATGTACGGTGAGTCCCTGACCTCCTGTGACAGAATAAAAGCCTCAATACTTCCCCTCAGACCGAAGCTGGTAATCAGCTGATCAACTAATCGATTCATTGATTAGTTGATCAGCTGATTACCGGCAACCTTTTCATCTCCGTAAAGGAATAAAAATGCAATAAATGATTTACATTCCTACTGAATGTCCCAGTGCTCCCAGTAGCTCCTCCCCCTCCAGTAAACAAGAGGTCCAGCATGTTGGAGACCAAGACGCTGCACTCCAGGAACACCCCCCTGCCCCCCCTGCCAGTCCCACCAGCACCGCCCATCCCCTCACCACCGCAGTACAAAGCTCCGCCCCTGCCCCCACCTGTCCCCCTCCACAGGACCAGCAGACCACCGGGACCACCAGGACCCAGGTCCCCGAAATCACCCACCGGGTACGTATGGGTCTGTAGCGGACTCTAGTGGATTGTGGTGGACTGCTCTGGTCTGTACGGGTCTGTAGCGGACTCTAGTGGTCTGTACTAGTGTAATGAAAATGAAAATGCACCTGTCTGACTTCAGATCGGTGAAGCGTCCTCCACAGAGACCTCCGCTCAGGACCCCGTCTGTGAACCAACCAGGTACTCCACTCTCAGAGGCCTCCGGACCCCTCAGGTACTATTAATACTACCAAGTACTTAGTACTGTTTACTCTGTGCAGGGTCACAGTCCAAATCCTCCCAAAGCTCCGGTCCTCCGACACCCAAACCCAGGAGCACCTTCTCCGTAAGTCCTCCACCGCAGCAGGTCCGGGGTCAGAGGTCACGGGTCTATCTTTGGTTCAGTTCTCCATGTCCCCCATCAAAGACTCCAACAGGGATTATTATTGTTATTATTATCATCATTATTATTATCATTGTCATTATTATTATCATTGTTATTATTGTTATTATCATCATTATTATTATCATTGTCGTTATTATTATTATCATTGTTATTATTGCCATTATTATTATTGTTATTATCATCATTATTATCATTATTATCACTGTTATGTATAAATGGACTGTTGATGCAGTTTTTGTGTGTGTGTGTGTGTTGTATTGTGTGTGTTGTGTGCGTGTTGTGTTGTGCGTGTGTTGTTGTTTGTGTTTGTGCCGTGTTGTGTTGTTTGTGCGTTGTGTTGTGTTGTGTGTTGTGCGTGTTGCGTTGTGTTGTGTGTGTGTTGTGTGTTGTGTTGTGTTGTGTGTGTGTGTTGTATTGTGTGTGTGTTGTGTTGTGTTGTGCGTGTTGCGTTGTGTTGAAATGTGTGTTGTGTGTGTGTTGTGTTGTGTGTGTGTTGTGTTGTGCGTGCGTGGTCAGAAGCAGAAGCTGCAGAGGGTGAAGGCCATCTACAGCTGTTGTGCTGATAATCCAGACGAGCTGACGTTCTCCGAGGGGGAGGTGATCGTGGTGGAGGGGGAGGAGGACAGCGAGTGGTGGGTGAGTGACACACAGGAAGTGCATCATGGAGGCGTCACTCGTGTGCCCCGTGACTTCCTGTCTGATGATGTCACGTGGTCTTGTTCCTCAGGTGGGTCACGTGGAAGCGGAGCCCAGCAGGAGGGGAGTGTTTCCCGTCACCTTCGTCCACTTCATCACAGAGTGACAGAGAGAGAAGCCCCGCCCCCTCGCTGCTCACCTGTACGGGACAACGCCCAGAGACCCAAACAGGACCTGGGAGTCTCCCCCACAGAACTGTGCAGTTAATTCTGCCCCCTCAACCCGTCATAGATTCACACGTTTATCATCAAGGATTCACGTCTTCAGCAGGAACCAATGGGCTTGAAGCTGAGGCACGGACAGGAAGTCGGTCCGTCTCTTTATGTAGACCTGCAGGGACGACGTCACGTTTGTTCCTGCAGATTCTTCACTATGATTCTGGATAATTATCTTAAATGCATCCTGATAATCTTTGTAAAGTTGAAAGGAAACTAATTTCATTAGTAAACATCAGCAGTTTTATGAATATCATGAGTCTGTGTGTGTGTGTGTGTTTATTTGAACCTGTTGCCTGAAGGGACATTTCATCATCTTATTAACACACAGTGTCATTAAAGGACTGAAATAATCCTTTAATGCAGAGTAATTTATTTCTTTTGTATTTGAATATGTACATATTTTACTTGTCTTTCTTTTTTTCCTTTCCTCTACTTTTCAATCTTTTCTGCAGAATTTTCAATTCAATTATTTTTATTTTGTATGACCCAAAATTACAGATTTGCCTCAGACGGCTCTACAGTCGGTACTCATGCAACATCCTCTGACCTTTGACCCTCACATGGACACAAGAAAAACCCTTCCATGAATAAATACATGTTGTTGCAGCTAAAACTCGTTCCTTTCGGCCTTTGACCCCTATTCATGGGTCCTATTGGGTTTAACCACACAGGGGCGTCGGGTCCACTTTGTCGCCGCCTTTCCTCCGAACAGAAAACCAGCAGCAATTTGTTTACTTGCTTGTTATTTATTGTATTAGAAACATAAAAGAAAGATAAGTTGCAATTGTGTAGATGTCTGACGATCAACATCAGGCCCAGAGGTCAAAGACGGCATCTGCTGATTGAATGTCTCCACCTAGTCCGGGTCTCCCCCGGGTCCTGTTCCCAGCTGGCCGTGCCTGGAACACCTCATCACTGGAACCCCAGATGCCCAAAACCACCTCAACTGGCTCCTTTCAGCGGCTCCACTGCGAGCTCCTCGCGGATGGCTGACCTCCCCCTCCGAGGGAGACGCCAGCCCGCTTCCCGAGGAAACCCATTTCGGACGCTTGTACCCGTGACCTAGTTCTCTGGGTCATGACCCGTCCTTCATGACCAGAGATGAGGGCAGGAACCAAGATTGACCGGTAGATCGAGAGCTCTGCCTTCTGGCTCAGATCAGTTTTCGTCACAACAAGACTTATTTAAATACGTGGACAACTTCAATGGAACTCCTGCATATGTGTGTGGGTTATACACACACATGAATATACATATATTGTGTATATAAAAAGTATTTCTTTATGTAAATATATGTATATACATGTATGGATATATTAAATTAAAATTGAGTTATGGGAAAACAATGGATGAAAGTGGGAAATAATCTTCTATATTAAAGTGGAAAACGTATCAAGGTTACGACAAGGTTTGAGTAAAATTCATTTATATATATATATATATATATATATATATATATATATATATATATATATATTTTGTCCGTATGTCTTTTACATCTTAACGTGGAATCAAAGTTCCGACATGTTTGTTCCGCACGGACAGGTTTCGGCACGAGCCGGAAGTGACGCGATTACAAACCCTGTGGCGACGCGCGTAGCTGCGATGAATTAACTGTTGTACGAGTCGAAGGATTAATCGGGTTTATCGGAGTAACCATGGCGACTAAACGTAAATGTGACGTGACGGTTCCCGCGGAGGAAAGCGACCAGCTGCTCATCCGCCCGCTGTGAGTTTAACAGCCGCGTTCGGCTCCCGGCGGCCGGACTGCGTCCTGCGACGCACCGCCGAGTCTTTTGTTCCAACGCGGTCGCTGAGTTGGACCTTTGAAGACGTAAAGCGTCTAAAGAGGCTTTGTTCTTTTGGGTTAGAGCAGACAGCGCATGCGCAGACGTCAGGCCAGACCCATTCATTAAGAGTCACGTAAACACGTTCGATGATGATGTATATTGGTGATATTGATAAGTGCAAGACTTAAGACGTGAGAGTGATGGTCTCCCCCCTTTCCCTCCCCCCTTTCCCTCCCCCCGCTGCAGAGGAGCAGGACAGGAAGTGGGACGGTCCTGCATCATCCTGGAGTTCAAAGGTCGAAAGATTATGGTACGTTTCCTCACATCATCTGCAAAAAATATCCTCCACGTAGTGTGTAACACCTGTGTGTGTGTGTGTGCGTGTCCCAGCTGGACTGCGGGATCCACCCTGGTCTCGAGGGGATGGACGCGCTTCCGTACATCGACCTGATCGACCCGGCGGAGATCGACCTGCTGCTCATCAGCCAGTGAGCTCATTGCCTTTATTTATAAATGTTTATTTCTTTGTTTTTCTGGACAAACCAACATCAACGTGTTCCTTCACATCGAGCCGTCTTCGTCTTCCTCCACGATCCAGGATGACGTCTCCAGATGTCTCCTTTTGTCACATCAACAGAAACCGAAAAAAGCTGCAAATTGTGGCATTTAAACATCTGGAATGAAAGAATTCTGAAAGGGATTCGATCCATAAATGAGTTAATCAATGATCTGTGGAACCGATCGAGTCAATGACATCATCATGTTGTGTCTCCTCTCAGCTTCCACCTGGACCACTGCGGAGCTCTGCCCTGGTTCCTGCAGAAGACCAGCTTCAAGGGGCGGACCTTCATGACGCACGCCACCAAGGCCATCTACCGCTGGCTGCTGTCCGACTACGTCAAAGTCAGGTGAGGGGGGCGTGTGTGTGTGTGTGTGTGCACGTGGGCGTGCTTGTACTTAAAGCGCTGTGTGTGTGTGTGTGTGTGTGTGTGCGCGCGCTCTGCAGTAACATCTCAGCAGACGACATGCTCTACACGGAGACGGACCTGGAGGAGAGTATGGAGAAGATAGAGACCATCAACTTCCACGAGGTGAAGGAGGTGGCCGGCATCAAGTTCTGGTGCTACCACGCCGGCCACGTGCTCGGCGCCGCCATGTTCATGATCGAGATCGCCGGCGTCAAGGTGCGTCCCGCCGGTAGATGTTTGATTCCAAGGTCTCTCCTTTTGTTTGTGACACGACGGAGCTACAAGAGAAGGGGGGTGGGGGGGGGGGGCCGGAAGTGGAAGTGAGCAAACAGGACGCAATGGAGTGCAAACAGGAAGTGAAGAGGAAGCACCGGGATCATCACTAATTGATAAAGATGATTGATTGATGGTTGAACCGTATATTTGACCTCCTTTATCTGGGCAGTGTGCTGATGTGTGTGTCTGTGTGTAGTTGTTGTACACAGGGGACTTCTCCCGTCAGGAGGACAGACATCTGATGGCGGCTGAGATCCCGAGTGTCAAACCCGACATCCTGATCACGGTGAGTGGCGTGCGTCCCTTCCCCGCGAAGCTTTGCCTAAAGCGTCGCTGTGAACGCGTCCCCGTGTCCCCCAGGAGTCCACCTACGGGACGCACATCCACGAGAAGCGGGAGGAGAGGGAGGCTCGCTTCTGCAACACGGTCCACGACATCGTCAACCGGGAGGGCCGCTGCCTGATCCCCGTCTTCGCGCTGGGCCGAGCCCAGGAGCTGCTGCTCATCCTGGGTGAGCGAGAGACACGCAGGAGCCCCGAAAATACGGGACAAATGTGTCCTTGATGAAAAGCAGCAGTGTGGATGCACGGGGCAATAAAGTCTATGATACATAAATAAAGCAACCAGCGACTTCCACACGCAACACACGACACGACGGCGCCTCCAGTGGCCGCCCGGCGTGTTGCGCGACAGCTTGGTTTGAATATGCAAATGAGCGTGTGCGTGTGCCCAATGCAGACGAATACTGGCAGAACCACCCGGAGCTGCACGACATCCCCATCTACTACGCCTCGTCCCTGGCCAGGAAGTGCATGGCCGTGTACCAGACCTACATCAACGCCATGAACGACAAGATCCGCAAGGCCATCAACGTCAACAACCCCTTCGTCTTCAAGCACATCAGCAACCTCAAGGTGAGCGCCGCGCCGCCTGACCCCCCAGCACGTAGGCCGCGTGGTCTCACCCCCCCCCACCCCCTGTGTGTGTGTGTGTCAGAGCATGGACCACTTCGATGACATCGGCCCCAGCGTGGTGATGGCGTCTCCCGGGATGATGCAGAGCGGCTTGTCCAGAGAGCTGTTTGAGAGCTGGTGCACCGACAAGAGGAACGGGGTGATCATCGCCGGCTACTGCGTGGAGGGCACGCTGGCCAAGGTGGGCCGCGACCGTTCTAAATGTGTGTACGTGCACACACACACACACACACACACACATAACCAGAGACGCGGGGTTTGATTCCAGCACATCATGACGGAGCCCGATGAGATCGCCACCATGTCGGGGCAGAAGCTTCCTCTGAAGATGTCTGTGGACTACATCTCGTTCTCTGCTCACACCGACTACCAGCAGACCAGCGAGTTCATCAGGGCCCTGAAACCGCCCCACGTGGTACACACACACACACACACAGACAGACACACACACGCACACACACACACACACAGACACACACACAGACACACACAGACACACACACAGACACACACATTTTGTTATTTGTTATCTTGTTTGTTGTAAATGAAGCAGATCACCTGAGTAGCATTAGCATGTTAGCACGCTTACATTACAGCTGACACTCTGGTCAACATGTTAGCCTGGGATGCTAGCATTAGCATCGGATGTTAAACGTGGTCTCTCCAGATCCTCGTCCACGGCGAGCAGAACGAGATGGCGCGGCTGAAAGCTGCTCTGATCCGCGAGTACGAAGACAACGACGAGGTGGACATCGAGGTCCACAACCCGAGGAACACCGAGGCCGTCACGCTCAACTTCAGGGGGGAGAAGCTGGCCAAGGTCGGTGTCTGATCCATTTTTGTTCTTCTGTCAGGGGTTGTACGGCCGTGTTAACTCCCAGCATGCTTTGCTGCAGGTGATGGGCTCTCTGACGGACAGGAAGTGTGTTCAGGGTCAAAGGGTCTCAGGGATCCTCGTCAAAAGGAACTTCAACTACCACATTGTGACGCCCTCTGACCTCTCCAGTCAGTAACGTGTGTGTGTCTGTCTGTCTGTCTGTGTGTGTGTGTGTGTCTGTGTGTGTGTGTGTCTGTGTGTGTGTGTGTGTGTCTGTGTCTGTGTGTGTGTGTGTGTGTCTGTGTCTGTGTCTGTGTGTGTGTGTGTGTGTCTGTGTCTGTGTCTGTGTCTGTGTGTGTGTCTGTGTGTGTGTGTGTGCTCCTCCTTAATAAATCAAATTGAACCTTTTTGTTCGCTGAGCGTTGTGTTCAGGCGCTGTGGTTTTCCCCAGCGTTGGTGACTGTTTGTCCTCCTGTGTTTGTTCAGACTACACAGATCTGTGCATGAGCACAGTGACGCAGACGCAGGCCGTC